TAATTCGACAATATGACTAACTACTGTTTGAGACAAAGGAGGGAAAATGTGTTGTGCATGAAGCCTCTCTTGTCTGTTCAACCCGTGGATTAAACTGCACTCTGACTAAATGTGTTTATTTGCATGCTGAGTAAATTAAATGTACAGCATTTGCTTTATAGTGGAAGCTAAAAAATTGTAAAGTAAAGATTTTATATTGGCTTTTTAACCCTCCAGAACCTAGCAGTGGATTTGAAAGTTGTATCTTACCAAAGAAAAGCCACAATTACCATTTATCAGAGCCAGAAACCGTAAAACTGAAAGAATCATTGATTTTTTAAATTTTTGACTTGCACTTTTTATCTTAAAATAGTGATATTTCAGCAAAATCGCCTTATTCCACATGTCCCCATCACCAAAAATAAAATGTTTGCACCAGATTCTGTATAAACCTCCTCAAGCCATCATCGACTCTGAGCTAAAAATCAATTCCGGTGCTTCTCGGTTGAATTGCAGGCCTTGTGGCACAGAAAAGATAGAAGACAAATATGGAAACCAGTTCAAAATGTAAGTAGTAAAACATCCATAGTATGAAGTATGTAGTTTCGTCCAGTGTTGGTAACACACGTGGGCACTTGTTGTACATGGTGATTAAAAGTCATTTAAACTTTTGTAAAACATATAATCAAAGAAGTTCTTTTTTATGGTTTATGGTATATACCTTGGTTAAAATCCACAAAAGTCATCTCTGAGTTGTCATGGAATTGCTTTGAATTCAGAGGATTAATAACAGTAACATGCTTTTATCTCTCAAATCTAATGTCGATGTTTTAATACGTTGATAGATACCAGACATAAGGCGCAATGAATTCTTGCAAATCTGTCCCACTGTTTGTGAGTCTTTCCGATCAACCTCTGACGAAACGCTTTGACGTTGTTTGTGTCTTTGTTGTTTGTCTTCAGCGTTCTCATAAAGACCTTCAACTGAAACATGTTGCAGCAACAGCAACACGACGTATGACTGAAATCACAGATAGTGTCAAAAACACGTCAGTGATGATTAACTTCAGTCGCCGTCATTATCTTCCCGTCTTACACAAGAGCTGCAGTGAACCATGGGACAAAAACATGTGGCCTCGCACAGTCCAGGTGATGACAGTCGTGTGCAGTTTACTGGTCAGTGTACATGTGAGGTGTTTTTGTGTGTCTGAGCTCACACTGTACTCGTTCAACTTACGCTGTCAGTGGTGTTAAAATGGCCCAGAACAAGGATTTACAGCAGTAATACGGTATAGTGTGTAACGATGTATAGAAACATCAGCCGTCCATACAAATCCAGGTCTGAAAGGATTTTTATACCAAGCAGGAACCTTCTGGCACAGAAAATGAGGCAATGCCAAAAAAAAACTGCAGTTCCTTGACTGGCAGCTTGAAGCTGGTTCCAAAAGTGAGTCAATCTCAATATTAAAATGTCAAACTTTACAGAGGAAATAAACGTCTTTACAGCCTGGTACCAAAAACAGATTTGGTCTCGAGGGGTAATTTTTCCATTCACAACCACAATACAGGGATTAGTTTTAACATAACTTCCCTTTAAAGTCGTGTTTTTGAGCCTAGCCGAGAGTTAAAGGGCATCAGTCAAGATGATGATGGAAAAGCTCGACCTCACTGAGTTTCAATACCACCCTTAATTTAACCTACGGATGACGTCACAGAAAGTTCGTCCAGTTTTATATACAACCGGTGTTTCATACTAGTGTACCGTAACTTCCGTACTATTGAGATCTACTATTGGCTTAAACCTGAATATAAGCCGCACCCACTAACTTTAAAAAGAAAACTAATTTGTACATATACAGGCTGCACTTGTCTACAAGCTGCAGGTGTCCACATTGGAACATGAGATATTTACACAGAAAGATTTTTTAAACTTTTAATTAAATACGTACCGGTAACACACACAAATACCGTAAATGCTTTTTTCCGAACAGTGCCTGTAACACGGCTGGTTAAAAAAATATAAATAAATACAGTCGCCTACCAGGAAAAGTCATTGATTGCTATCTTCATCTTCCTCCTGCACTAAAACCACTAAGGTCTTCAGTGTCGGAGTTGAACAGCCTCAGAATCACTTCATCACACACTTCCTCAGTCTCTCTTTCGTTGTCGCTCTCAATGTCACTTTCGTCTTGAAGCAAATTCGTAAAAATCATAAAAATCCATAAATTAGCCGCATCATCGTTTAAGCCGCAGTGTTCCAAGCGTGTGAAATAAGTAGCAGCTTATAGTCTGGAATTTACGGTGCATTTCTACAAACTTCTAAATGTCTCAGGAGCTTTGCTGTTTGGTTTCCTCCGGATTTTAATAGTTCAAGTGAAAATTCTGCTGCTTTATATTGAAAAGAGTCATTTTAAGATACCAGCACCACAGCAGTTATAGCAGCAGCACCTATGCTGCACAGTAAAACTGGCTTTTTCTTACCTTGCTTTTAACTCCATGTTGTTTTCACAGTATGAAAATGCCTCCACCAGGGTCAGGCCGCGGTCGCTGCAGGCTAAGCAGAGCGTTCCAGATGTCCCGCTCTGGGCAAAGTTTACAAGCTCCTCAAAGGCCAGATGAGATGTATGATCCATCCAGCAAGTTCTGGCTCTCCTTTAAAACTACATGTGATTGTCCTTCAGGAGTGGAGCTTCTGGTGGCCGACAGCAAAGTGCTCTGAATGTACCTCCTGTCAAAAGGTGTGATATGTTTAAATAACTTTGCCTTTTGGTCAGATGTAAATTAGTTTCTACTAGTCACAAGCTAAAATCCTGCCAAATAGCTTTGCCAATGTCATATTGCTAATGTAAAATATGATTTTGATTAATTTCACTTAATTAACGCTCTCAGTGCAGCAACTGAGTGTTTATTTTTTCTCTCTCTCTCTAAACCTCTCTGAACTCCATAATGAGAGTTTGTTGGACAAGAACTACATTAATTTGCTAACTGGTGCCTTTATAGAAACAAGTGATAATTATAGTGATGATGAATGCAGCACTTTGTGTCACATCTCGGCTGAAAGTCTGCCCTTTGTGCAGCCGGTGTGCGAAACATTATCACCGTTTCAGAAATATTATTATTTTACACCGTTTGTAAAAGAGATTTAATTGGCTTCTTTTTCTCTATTTACTGTATAACACAAACCAAAGAAGGGAAACATTCTCTAAAAGTCTTCGAAGCACAGAGAACTTTGCGATGAAGCCTGCTATACTCTACTCTGCAAGTTTAAAACATTGGGTCCCGGTACTGCTTCATACTCCAGTCATACTGAATTACAAGGAACGTTTTGCCCCTCATGAAGATGGTTGTTTTCTTTACCCAACATTTCTCTGGCCTGTGATCGCATTTAAGAAACATTTGCTGTCCCTCCATATCCTGTTTCTGACAATCGATATGTATGGTGGTCACCTCAATGTGAATGTTCCTCATCCCACAGCGAGAAAGCCGCAGGATGTCCTGGAATTAGATTTGTAAATACAGTCCTGACTTGATAATCTGACACTAAATGTAAAACCTTCTTTTAAGTCGGATAGCAAGGCTGTTGGATTGTCAAGACGGAGGTCGAGATACAAGGAGGGCTTGATGCTGGAAGGCTCATTTGTTGTTAATATTTGTTTTTTATAGTTGTGATAATAACTATTGTGTTGTTAGAACACTACGCATCGCTGGATTTCACGCCTAACTGACGGATTGTTCAGTCCGATAATAAGCCGTTATCCTTATTTGTGACATAACATCTCGTGTTGGAGTCGGAATCCAAGGCTGTCGGTATGTTAAGGCTGTTTTTTAGGGGTTTTTCCTAAAAACCTGTCGGATAGCAAGGTTTTCAGATTGTTAAGGGTCAGAATGTCGAGTCACAACTATACGGTAGAGCAGGTTGTCCTCCAATCCCAAGGTTGGTGGTTTAATCCCAGCTCCTCCACAGTCAAAGTGTCCTTGGGCAAGACACTGAACCCGACGTTGCTCCCAATGGCAGCAGCACCTTGCAAGGCAGCTCTGTCACCATTGGTTTGTGAATGTGTGTGAATGGGTGAATGAGAAACACATTGTGAAGCGCTTTGGATAAAAGCGCTGTATAAGTACCATTTACATGCAGCTGTCTTGCTTTGAAGGCCCTCACATGGATCCTGTTTCCAGATATTTAATTAACTGAGAGGAATCACTCCTACAACCAGACGGGGTACGTTGCTTGTTCTTGCCAATCCATTAATGTGACAGTATGCAGTTCAGATCAGCGCCATGTTTAAAGTGATATGGAAATACTACTAGGCCTAGTAAGATTACTGTGACACCGACCCTGACAGAAAAGTGACCAGGATGCACTTTCAGACAATGAGGTCAACATGTTCGGATGTTGTCAGATTAAAGAAACGGAGTCTTTGTACAACCTACTCTTGGCCTCTCCTCCATGTCCTGTTGACACTACAAGTGAAGAAAATGACTAAAAGGCGTCGACCACTGTCTAGTCGCTATAGATGTGCTGCTTAAACAGGTGTTGACTTTGTTTATGTTTACAAAGCGTCAGGGATGATTAGCACTGAGCTAACAGTAATAATACGTTTTTCCTCCATGTTTGGGGCAAAACGGAGCAGGAGGTTGTGGGAAGAGACGCTTCACTGCATCACTGGAGCGCTGAAAAAAGCTGAAACCAGCTGTGCATCACACAGCATCAGGGCATCGGTTTTTATCTTTATATTACCAGCATTCATTGGAACTGACTTGTAGCCTGATGTAGTAGTTTGAACACACCATGTGAGCTGCACATGTGTGAGAAGGCAGCATTTGCTTCTGTTCTTAACAGGCTTTCAATAATTTTTACATCAGGTGCTAAATGAAAAGGATGTTTTGTTTTTTTGTCCTGCATCTATCCCATACGGAAGTCTTTAGTTAGTCTATGTTGTGCGACCATAAAGACCTGCTTCTTCAATAAAACAACAACAACAACAAGACCAGATTCTTGAAAAATGAAACAGAATCAGCAGTAAGTTTAAATACTTTTATTGCCGTTTCCCCTCTTTGGGGGCTCAAGATTACAACAAAACAGAACCAACAGATACTGACATAGTATAAAAATAAATTAAGGCAAAAAAAAAAAAGTACCTACAGGAACAGAACACATAAATTTCCCCTCGTTGGAAGGACAACACAATACTGGTCTTGGAATCTCTCTGTGCCATATAATCTATACGGCAGTGACAGTATAACGTGCTTTTATAATAAATTATTATTAAATATTAGACCAGACGTACAGGACAACAGATCAGAACAACAGTTTGAGAACAGTGCTGTTACAACAGCATTAGGTACACATGATGAGCACAGTGAGGAATGTTTGTTAACTCCTACTATTCATTCCAGTTCATATCATTCATCTAAACATTCCTGGTCGACGATTTTAAAAAGGCATTTTCAGAAAAATAACCTGAAAACGGGAAGATTTCTAACTAAAGAGCAACCTGTGCAGAATTTAAAAAATAAGTGTAGTGGCAAGAAAATTCAGAGGAGAATTGTTCCTCTTTCATAAAAGGTTGCGAGACTCTTCCTCAAAGGCAGAAATACTAACTAACTTAGTCCGTTCTAGAATTACAGACGAGCTGAACTACAAACATGGCCGTTCAGAATTACTAACGTGTGGCTCTTTCTTCTCGTTCGTTTCTTTTTCCTCTTTACATCTGCTTCACCCTCTGCTGCAGGAGCTCCAGCTGCCGGGCCACCTCGTTCGGCAGGTCGTCGTTCACCTGCGTGGTGAAGTAGCTCCTCACCTCCTGCACCTCCTTCTGCCAGAACTCCTGATCCAGGGAGAACAGCTCGTCCAGGTCCACTTGGCCCTGCAGGCCCTGGAGGTTCAGGGAGTCGTGGCAGGGCACGTAGCCCACGGCCGAGGGCATGGCGCCGGCTTCACCGTTCAGCCGCCTGAACATCCAGTCCAAGACGCGGATGTTGTCGCCGAAACCGGGCCAGAGGAACCCGGCGGTGGGGCTCTTGCGGAACCAGTTGACGTGGAAGATCTTGGGGAGCTTGGCGCCGGGGCGATCGGCCATGCTCAGCCAGTGAGAGAGGTACTGGCCGAAGTTGTAGCCGAAGAAGGGGCGCATGGCGAAGGGGTCGTGCATGATTACTTTGCCTGGATTAAAGAAACAGAACAGAATGAATAAGTGTGTCTCAAGTTAACTCTTGAAACTAATTAATTCATCAACTGACTGACATCTTATTTTAGTTTGAGCTCTAATTCACTTTTTTCCTAACTTCACTTCACGCTGCTGTTTGAGTTATTCAGCAAAATCCAAGATCCTCAGGCCATAAAAACCCACGAGTCAGCAATGTTCTTAGAAACCTCAGACACTGACCTTTGTGTTCAGCTGCAGCAGTGGCCTCTGACCTCATGGCTGCTCCCACGAACACGCCGTGCTGCCAGCTGAAGGCTTCGTACACCAGCGGCACACCTGAAAGAAAGCACAGTGACGCCTGTTATTGTCTGACATGTGATTGCATCTTGTTTTCTCTCTAGTTTACTTAATGTTTCCATCCTGTTCAACACCTAATGTCCTCTCACCTTCTGGCCTACGCCCGCCGAAAATGATGGCTTCTATTGGGACTCCCTCTGGGGATTCCCACAGCGGGTCGATGATAGGGCACTGTCCGGCCGGAGTGCAGAAACGAGAGTTGGGATGAGCACAGGGTTCTCCTACAAAGATAAAAAGACAAGAAAAACATTTTACTTTTATGATACGCATACACAAGCTCATATCTTCCCTCTTGAAGTTTGTGTCTCTATTTTAGCGAGAACATTCGTAGCATTCTGCTCCAACGGCATCCAGTACACTTTTGTTTTCATGTCTGGAGTCTCTTCCTTTGTCTGAGCTGCACAATTTGCAATCTCCTTTCTTTCTTCTTACCGTCCTCTGAGCTCCAGGGCTTGTTCTTCCAGGATGTGACGGTGACTCCCTCTGGCAGTGACTGATCCATTCCCTCCCAGTAGACACCGCCGTCGCTGGTCTCCGCGACATTGGTGAAGACGGTGTTCTTGATGATGGTCTCCATGGCGTTGGGGTTGGTTTTGGCCGAGGTACCGGGCGCTACGCCGAAAAAGCCATTCTCGGGGTTGATGGCACGTAGGTTTCCTGAAAAGGAAAGGAGAGGTTATGAATTTTAAAATGTTCCTGTCAGTTTGGATTACTGTTAATATTACTGCAGCTTTAATGTCCTCAAAGTTTCTCCATTCTCACCTTGGTTATCAAACTTCATCCAGGCGATGTCGTCTCCAACACACTCCACCTTCCAGCCAGGCAGCGTCGGGCAAAGCATGGCCAGGTTTGTTTTCCCACAGGCGCTGGGGAAGGCCGCTGCCATGTACTTCTTCTCCCCAGCAGGGTTGGTGACGCCGAGGATCTGAACACAAGAGATATTCGGTTTGGTAAGAACGGATGAGGATTAATTAGTTTTGGAACTAGTGGTGCAATGAATCCATTAACTGGCTGACATATGTAGATGTGTTTTCTTTCCCCTCCTTACCAGCATATGCTCAGCCAGCCAGCCCTCCTCCTTGGCGATGCGCGAGGCGATGCGGAGGGCGAAGCACTTCTTTCCCAGCAGGGAATTTCCTCCGTAACCACTCCCGAATGAGACAATTTGTCTGCGGTCTGGGATGTGGGCGATCAACGTCTGCTCGGGGTTGCAGGGCCAGTTATTCACCAGAGGCTCTGAAGAAGGAATCAGTGCTCTGGTTAATTCGAATCCGTGGACAGCGAGTGTCCAAAATTATAAGTAAATGTACCAAGAAGTAGTGGAAATTGCAGTTGCAGGAGTAGTTATTCAATCATGGCAGGAATTTTAGTTGTTGTAGCAGCATCATGTTGGGTAGTAAGAATTAATAATAGCAGTAGGTACTTCATACTACAGTAGTGCAATAGAAGTAGTAGCTTTTTCTATTGGTGCATATTTTTCTCCTGCAGTGGCTGATTGCTGTTGAGTGAGTATGAAGTAGAAATGTGTCGACGTACTTTTGAGGGGCAGAGGACAACCGACGGAGTGCAGACAGCGAACAAACTCGCCGTTCCCCAGAGCGGACAGCACAGACTTCCCCATGCGAGTCATCACCCTCATGCTGGCCACCACGTAGGGAGAGTCGGTCAGCTCCACGCCGATCTTAGAGAGGGGGGAGCCCACCGGACCCATGCTGAAGGGGATCACGTACATGGTACGACCTGAGGACGGAGACAGAGAGTCAGAGTTAGTCACAGGTTTATGCTGCTTCAATATAATTTTGCTGAAGTTGTGCTCTGCACTGTTTTAGATATAAAAATCTATAATTGGGTTTAAGAGTTCACAGGTTTCTAGGCATCAGAAAACTGCTGGTAGCAGAAAGTCAGGAAAGATTTTCTGGCTTTACTTTGTGCATTTTTTTAAAATTAAATTTTCAACTTTTTTGATTCTTGGACATGTTTTAAGAGTTTTAAAGTGGTTAAAAACTATATTCAATGATGTTTCCATGTTCTGAGAAGTCATCTTTGCCCTGGGTGTACATTAAAAGAGCCTGGTAGTAGAGCACATGCTGTAGATCAGTGGGACAAACAGATGATCACAGTGCAAATAACCTGTAGCTGCTCTATATTTTAATGATTTGCAACTCGTCATTCTTGCTTTTTGAGTTATGATAGTGAAATATTTTACAGATTTTTGCTGTTGAGATCCAGATGTTTTCATATTCTTATCTTTTGTTCATCCTGTCTAGTCGGAACTGAGTCCAACATCTCCGTCTGTACCTTTCATGCAGCCGGGGAACCGCTGGCTCACGGCTTTGTCGAACTCTTCCGGGCACATCCAGCGACCCAGCTGGCTGACTCCGCCTCCCACCGGCGTGGGCACCGTGTTCTTCTGGTCCTCGGTCACAATCACCGTCTTGCTCTCCACACGAGCCACGTCCCTCGGGTCGGTCCTGGCCAACCAGCTGCAGGAGGAGGAGGAGGAGGAGGAGGCAGGAGAAGATGGAGGTAGGAGGTGCAGGAAGAAGAAGAAAAAGGAAAAGAGGGACAGAAGAAATTAGGGCTTGTTTTTTTTAATGGATTTTAACTACGTTTTAGATTACAGTAGAGCAACAAGTCTGTTAAACCGCCTTCCTGCTGCACATCTTGCTGCAGGATGAACAAACAAAATGTACAAGTTCATTTCACACCTGGAGGACATGTTTGCCTGAGAGCTGCTGGTAAACAGTTGTGGTGTGACTGAGCTAGCTGAACTTACTGGTTTGTCAGAATGCAGATCTTTTTCAGGTATGTGAGTGATGCATAATGACATAACAAAAGCCACAGCTGCAATCTATCTTGGTTAGAAGATAATAATCCAAGCTAACCACTGGTATTTCAAAGTAGTTCCAGTAAACACTTCTGTTTACCGCACCAAAAAGGACAACAAAATACCTTCATGTTTTCAAAAGGTGTCCTGTTTTTAACCTGCTGCTCTACTAAATCAACCTAAACCTACCAGTTCTCATATTTGGTGAGCTTCTTGATCATCCCCTGCTCCTCCAGCTGGGTCAGGATGGCCCGGTTCTCCTCGTCGGAGCCGTCGCAGATGTGGAGCGAGTCGGGCTGGCACAGAGTCACGTTGGTCTCCACAAACTCTCTGACGGCCGGGCTGAGGGCGCTGAGGTCGCCCTGCAGGACCCTGGGACCGTTCTGGTTCTGGGACTGGAGCTGAGGAGGCATGGCGAAGAAGTCTGGAGGGAGAGCGAGGTGCTGGACGGAGAACGAAAAGACGAGAGGAAGTCTGGAGACAAGATTCAGGTGAAGACGGAAAAAAGGGGTGAAAAGGAGAAAAATAAGAGAGAGGAGAGGAAATTAGCAGAATAAAGGTGAGGAGAAAAGTTGGCAGAGGGTGGAGAAGAAAGAAAAAGAGGGGACAGATGGGGGAAAAAAAGAGAAAAATAAGGGACACAAGAGAAGAAAAAATAAGTTAAATGTCATCAAAAAGCATTTACAAACTTTAAATATGAAAGACATCAAACTTCAGGGACATGCTGCAACCTCCAGGTCCGTCAGACTCTGGGTGATGCAACAGCATCCTTCTGCAGGATCCCAACCTTCAAATCCCTCCACAAATAACACACTAAAGAAAAGAAGGAGCTTTACCTCTAGTAGTTAGTTTGGAGCAGAAGCCTTTAGCTTGGCCTCATCAGCTGAGGTATCTCTGCTGCTTGCTTTCAGGTCGAGCTGAGGACTGTTTCTCCTCCTCGGACAGTTGTATCTGCTGTGGAGAGGATTCTCTCTTTTTATACTCTGGGATGTCCCACAAGACAAGGGAGGGCTGGTGGTGGTGGAGGGGAGGTGTGTGTGCGTGAAGGGGAGGCTTGTTCTCTGGGTTATTTGCATGGACCTGTTGTTCCTGACAGATCTGGAAAACACAGCGTGTTACAGGCTGCCGGTGAATCATTAATCAGCAGCAGGACGTCATGCCGTCTTCGTGTAACCGGTTCTCTCTGCCGCCAGCTGAACGCTAATAGCTGGCTCAGATCTCAAAGAGCGACAGACAGCTCAGTCCTGACCACTGCTGCCAGCGTCTCTCTCTCTCTGTAACACATTTTATTGGAGGGGGAAGCCAGGCTGACATCACCTGGGTGAATGCCGGCTTTACTCTGCCAGCTCAGCCAGCATCAAGTGAATACAGATTTTTAAAAAAAACAAAAACCCTGACTTGAACCCTGAAATAAACAGTTGTTTTTCTGTATTTTGTTGTGCTTTGCATGTTTTATTTTAATTTTATATACTTCTTGCTTGGCTAATTCTGCAATTTATATGTCCCCCCCCCTTTTTTTACACATTTTATTTTTTAATTCCTCTTGCAGCTTAGATAACTTCAGCATCCAGCGCCTTTTGGTGAGGCAACCTCCGGTCCTCTTGCAGCAGCTGCTGTTGAACTCTGACCCACATTGCTGAATGATGTAAGTTCAGGGTTCAGCTCCGTCAGGCCGCTGTGTGACGTGGGCAGCGCCTCGGCCGGTGTCCTCTGCATTGGCTGCCGGACGGAGGCTCGCCTTCGCGCGGTCGTGGGTCAGCTGGGGGGAATGTGTTAGCCTGTGTGCACATGCAACAATTACAAGGAGCCTCTGTGCAACGACGGCAACTTTGAGCCTTTAAAGGTAAAAGTGCTGATAAAAGGCAGTTGATCTCAAGCGGGAGGTAAGTTAGAGGCATGAATAGCTGCAGTTAGAGACGTAATAAAAGCGGCTGTAGAAGCAGCAGTTTTAATGACAGGTCTGCGTAACAACCAGGTTGAAATGTCAGTTTGCCACAAGCTCTTTTTTCACTCACTGCTGATACGTGTTACGTCTGCAGGATGTGTGGTTTGAAAATACTATGTCAGAACCAAACTGAGGAAAATAAGAGCAAATTAAAACAAAATTCTGGCTGTAAATCATGTTACATCTAGGAGCCAAAGATTTTGAGGAATTCAGGAAGAAATCTGGCTGATTGTGAAAAACTCGAGCATCAGAGGAGTGACAGTGCTCCCATTTGATTTGGTATTGTCCTGAAATTTCTCAGCAAATCCCTGATGTTTTCCACTAAGTATGCAATAAAAAATACAAAAGTTTTCTAATAAACTGAAGAGCCTGGGAAAGAATGCATCATTGAATAATAATACATGCATCGAACATATTTAGAGTTTTGCTGCAGGCATGAAGCTTCGTTGGTTTGGATTATTTGCAGCATTCTGTGCTGTATTTACGACATCAATTCTGTGAAATAGCAGAAGCAATAAAAGGCTAATAAAAGCAGTGGGAAATGGCCGATACTTTTACTTGTTACGGCAACAAAAGTAGTGCCACTGTTAGCGGCAGGACAAGGTGTAGTAATGATTAAAGCAGCAGGTGTAGTTGTCACTGCTGCAGTATAAATGGTAGGATTGGACTTCTAGCATGAATACAAATTGGTATAAATGATAATACAGCAGTTTTAGTGGGATTATTTTGTGCTGAGCAGGCAGACGGCTCCTCATCGTTGCCTCATTGCTGGTTCGACTTTCAAAGCGATGCAGCTGCAGTCGGCAGCAACTTCCCAGGACTGAATACTGAACAGGAAGATTAACAGGCAGGAAAGAAACCTGCACGATAATGGCACTTAAAGTTACGTAACAGCCGCTGTTCAACTTCTTTATGGACAATATTCGAAATTGTGCAATGAAGTGTCAGCGGTCATAAAAGACAGACGGATCTTTATCCTGCCCGGACAACCCAACAAGAACCTCAACAGCAGAGCAACATTCATCACACTCGCTGCTGCTCGGGTCCATCAGTACAAAGACTCCAATTATTTGTATTTTTTTGTAGTAAAATTCTAAAATTTTGCTGTTAACATTTAGAAAAACGCAGCCTCCAACATGAGGTTTTGTTGACACGTCTGTGGTTATTAATTGTGAATTAAGAAAACATTTTCCTTCAGTACTGGTCGGCTGATGCTCGTCGCCTGTAACCAAGAAAATGTTCCCCAAAAAAAGAAAAAAAAACAGACAGCGGAGTCACAAAATCACTCAAAATAAACCTCAAGAGGCAGAAAACGGTGAAAGAGACACAGAACTAACCACATTTTTGTGATTTTATTCAACATTATCTGTAATTTTACAAAACATTTTTACATTTTAGTATTATTATTATTTTTTTGCCATTTTTTCAATTTAATTGAAATTAATGTAATTGTATCTAATACAGATTCATTTTATGGTCAAACATTGTAAAATTAAAATATATTAGTATTTAAAAAATACAGTACACACAGTTTGGACCTGTTTTCTTTCATTCTTTATTTTGCAGTTAAAATATAAATTAATTTGTTGTTTCTGTGATTTTTACTTGATATTATTTGTTATTTAACAACAAACAGTAAAATTTGTAAAATAACAGTTTCTAAAAAACTTTTCCTTCATAAACAGAATTTTTTATTTCAAACAGCAAATATCTATAAAAGAACTCCTTTTTTGCTAAGTTAAATACTGTAAAATAGTAATTTTACGGTCAAACATTATAAAAAAAATATTTATAAAAATAGAGAATTTTGCTGATTTACAGTTTAAACCTGAATTAAACAGAAACTCCAGGGAAAACGTTTTAAAAAGTCCCTTTGTCACAGTGCAGCTGGTTCATTCTGCCTCATGTTTCAGTGTCAGCAGGTGGATTCATGTGGAGCTGCAGGACTAACGAGCAGAACCGTTTATCTCACGCTGAGTTCAACCAGAACTTGATTTGATCTCCGATGCGTCTAAAAACTCAACATACTCAAATGCATTTCCTTCTGTTGGCCACCAGGGGGCGGAGTCTGTGTCTTGTGCAGATTGACATGAAGAGAAATGATGTTGGTCATGAGGCGTTAAAGTCTGATTCAGTGCAGCTGTTGGTTGTTCAGTAAGTTATGGTTCCTGTTAAAGAGAAACTGTTGGTCTCGTCTGATTTGCTGATTCATTTGTATGAATTTTACTCAGATTTGACTGAAAACAAAACGATGAATCTTGATCCCAAGAACCAAACGTCTGGAGACTTTTTAGATCCCAGTCCTGTTAGGATGTCATGGTTGGACGAGCTGACGAACCCGGATATGAAATGTGATACAAACCCCGTAAATGAATGATTAATTGCTGCATAGTGTATTGATAAATCTCTTGTTTATTAGGAGAAAGCCTTGTGAATTGTTGAGAGAAAGAGAGGAGCTGCTGTTCGACTCCGGTTGCTACATGCTAAGAGGCTAGGCTAGTCGTTATTAGCTTGTCGATGTTAGCTCATGTGAACATGCTGCTTACGGAGATACTTTCATAAAAATCAGTCGGAGTTGCAGATATGTTATCCAGTGTTTTAACCCTGTTAAACGCTGTTATATCATTGTGATATGTGAAAAATGACATTAGAAAGATCGCTAGCTACTGCGCTAATGCTAATCGCGCTAACGCTAATCGCGGGTAGCACCGCTAAGCTAGCTCAGGTATATACTCATATAGCTAATGTGTAGCTAATCTACCAGGTCACCACCATATTTAATGCAAGAGAAACATATTAAATAATATGATGTCAGGTTGTGACACTGTTGTTCCAGTGTCCTACACTTTGTACATAATGTGATTATTTCATTGAGATTATTTAGATACTCATGTTGATTTAAAAGGAGTGAATTGATGCAGCTCATCACAGTTAGGAAGGTAAATATTGACTTAAAAAGCTCTTTAAAAGTATAAAAACTGCTTAAGGAAGTAAATAAGTTTGATTGCATTAACATACAAGTTCATGATGAATAATTGTGTTAAAAATATTTGTGCTGTGAATGTGTACATCACCATTTGCAATGATTGTAACAGTATATGCAGAGAATCAGAGGAGGAGTTGTAGAAAGTCATGTAATGAATATGGATACAGTAGTAATTGAAATGTATTTTCTGCACCATGCGTGTAGATTGTTTTTGTAGCTGGATCAGGGATTGATCGGTACGATTCTGAACCTTCAGCGGTTCAGTGGCGAGCCAAGCTATCGACAGCGGATGGAGATCGGGATCCACACCGAAGACCACAGTCGTCTCCTCAGTCCCTTTGACACAGATAAGATCGTTCACCACAAAACCTACCTGGGTAGTAGAACCAACAGACATGTGACTGAACACAGGATTGAACCCCATCTTCTGATATAGAGGACAAGACACTTTCATTGAACTTTATCTCTTTATTTTATGTTATTTGAAAGAGCTCTGTTTTGTTTAATAAAAGGAGTCAGAGTCCAACTTTCTGAACCTAGAGGAAATGTTGGTTGCTCTCTTACATCGAGGTTAGAGGCGCTACGGGTAATTTTTCCCAAAATAGTATCATATGATATGTCATGTTGTGTAATAATGTTTTTCTGTCACCTAAGGAAAATGGCATGGGCTTAATCAGGCAGGGTGACAGTGAAAGTACTTGTGGAACCAGGAAGGGGGCACTGAACATGCTTGTGTAACTTGGACAACGATGTACAAAACAGGGGAGAGTTTATGCATTTTTATTCAACGTCATCCATAATACTGAAAGACTGGGTGTCCTTCACTATCATGGAGACCAGGGCTTCATCCAGCTCTTGTTCTCTGGTGGCTGGTTAAAAGAGAATAAATACAGTGTCTGTTACCTGTCTTTAATTGCACAACAAACAAACGTCAGCATGGAAAAACTGTATTGTAAAGACTTACCTTGACTGGGTGAAGCTCCAGTTTCCTCCCTATTCTCATGCAAGGCACAGTAACAACTTAGCATGGATGAGGTGTTGTTATTGTACCCCAACTCCTTGGCGCACAATAAACACCTCACCTTTAAGTAAACAGTGAAAAGTACAGTCCGTCATAAGCAAACCCAATACGTCTGAAATAATGCTAGATTCAGCTCACCTTATTAGGACTTATCAAATCAAAATGCTCCCACAGAGGGGAAATCCTCCTCTTATCCTCTCCTCACTCTCCTAAATCTACTATCTCTCTCTCTCCCAGACTTTCCAAACTCCAAACTATCTGTCTCCACAAACTATATTTATAAACACTATTTAAACTGTAGTATCCAAACTATCAAAACTCTATCCACACTCAGAACTCACCGTAACTCGCCTACAAAAACCCACATTTTGAATGGAGCCTGTGGGGTTTATAACGCTGCCAAACCCCGCACCAACCACCTCCCGAAGCAGTCACGTGGTACAGTCCGGCAAAGCCCCCTCCATTATTACTCGACACACACTTCGAAGCCTCGGCACATCTCCTAACATCACTACTCATAAGATATACAAAGGAAAAATCAACCATTCATGAGCCGTGCTGCGCTCCACAACCTACCTCGTGCACGCCTCTCAGGAACTGACAGCATGACACCGGTACCGGCGGCACACCACAGCTCCCAAGAGGGCGCCACCGAGCCAACAAGAAATCAACATGACATCCAAACCACAGCAAGCAGAATTACCCACATGCACACTAGGGCTGGACCCGAATAGCCGACTATTCGTTGCTGTGCTGGAATCGGGATGTCAAACTTGGTTTCCGAATATCCCCTCTGCCGCGGAAACAGAGCCGTCACCGCTGACCTAAACACAGAAACTGGTCTCAGTAGCCAAATATGCGGCCTGTGCGTCACGCCCAATGCAGCCCAATGCAGCCCGAGCACCTCCGGGCTGCAATGGGCTGCAGTGTGTTTGGGTATAGCAGTATGTTGCTGAGCTCCAAAGCTTTCTAGTCAAGCTTACGGTTGGTGATGAGGTCTTGGATTAGATGTCCCTTGCTTGTCAGTGAGCGGATGTTGAGCAAAGCGAAGTTGAGCGAAGTGGTGTCGCAGCTGGTGGTGGAGCTAGCCGACTGGGCTAGGCGGGCTAACACACTGTGGTCAGTTGCCCGGCTGGTGGAGCGTGGAGGGCGTCGAGAGCCGGACCAGATGGATTTTATTGCCGACGAGCTATTATGGTGGAAATTCTGGCGGGACCCTCGGTGGATGTAAACAAACCACCAATAAGAGAGAAAATGAAAATTTGAAAGAACACGAGAGCTACCTGAACACCTCCAGAACCTTCCCAGTGATTATGTGGTTAGTTGCTTGTTGTGGGAGATGCACCCTCTGATAGATTTTAGTTGCCTTATTTTGAAAGGTCTGAAAACATCCCCGAAATACCAGCATCATGAAAAAATAAAGCAGAGCTGTGTCAGCCCAACACAGACCATCCTGCAGCCATCCTGATATCTAGTGGTGCAAAGAGGAAGTTCATGTTTGACTAGAACCTGTCACGACAGATTTCTCTCTGTATAAAACATACATACTCAGTGTTTGAATAAGGAAGAAGTCTCTGCATTAAAACACAAATTATACAAATCATTTATTTTCATCAGGAACCTCCTCTGATTCGTATCCTGAAGTTGCACAGGATTGGATAGATGGTCTCAAACCCTCTGTAGATGTCCTCCATATTTTTAGGTCCTGGTATTAAACACAAGATGTAAACATTAGAACTTATCTACGTCACAATTAACTCAGAAAATGTTGCTCAGACTCAGAGAAGTGAAACCTGGTGATGATCTGAGAAACACCATAAAAAGATTAGTTCTCGAGAGGCCACTACATAAATAACCTTCAAACTCTTCTAAACTCTTAGAACCTGCTCAGTGACAGAGGAAGCTTACAGAACTCCACGAAGGACACGAGGATCCAATTAGTGATCCTAAGGGACTATGAGGACTACCTAAGAATGATCTCAAACATTTCTCAAAATGGCACTGGAGCTATTTTAAGGACTACGAGAGCCCATCTTAGTCTAAGATCGTACTAGGGAACCTTTAGAACCTCCAATAACCAATACAGTCAGATTATTACCCCTGACCCTCCTCAGTGCCGCTACACCCTCTGAAACGAGTACTACAAATACGTAAATAAAACCTAGAACCTCCTTAATGGCCCCAGAATCTCTACAGTAACACTAACTGCCTAAATGACCTCCATAACCTCCTAAGGGACTAGTAGAACCTCTAAAAGGAACAATAGAACTACCTTCAGGAACCTCGGAACCGGTCTAAAAACCACGAGAATCAGATAAAGTGCTTCTTGAACCTCCTGAGTGACCTAAGAGTCTTTTCAAGGAATACTATAAGTAAACAACACCTTGAACCTCATGACTGACTCCTGGATCCTCAGAGGAATACTACCTACCTAAAGAACGCCCAGGACCTCTTAAAGGACAAGTAAAACCTCCTGTAGGAACACCACAACTGTCTAAGGGACCTTTTTGAACCTTCGTATTGACGACCGTCTTGTCTTCAAGGTACACTAGAAGTATGTAAACATCTAGAACCCCCTTAATGACCCCAAAATCTCTAGGGGAACAATCACTACCTTAATGCCCTCCATAACTTCTTAAGGGACCATTAGAACTTCATGAAACAACCCTGAACTACTTCTCAGCTACTTTAATTGCCTTTTTGCACAAAATCTTACTATTTTAAAGGACCACCAGAACTCCCCTCGGAACCTTTCTCAGTTGCCTCTCAAAGGGGCACTGGAGCTACCTTTAGAACAACAAGAACTCTAGTCTCTACAATAATTCATTGTAGGACCCCTTAGAACCAAATTAGTAGCCCCCAGAGCTGGACAAATTTCCTCTAGAACCTGCTGATTACAGAATTTTGGCAAGTTCAAAGTTGTGAAAGCTCTTCACACAAATAATACTAGAATCTGACCTACTTATAAAACTCAGAGAATCTTTTGAACTTCCTGAAAAATGGCCTTCAACACCTCCTCAGTCACAATCTCATAAAACGCTAAGTAAAGGAATTCTAGAGCCTCCTCAGTGACCACAAGATTTACAGAAGCTCCTACAGTTCCTACAGAACCTCTAGAACTTTCTCAGGGCCTAGTAGAAGCCGTGGCTCCTTCATTACACTGTCGGTTTCATAACCGGTCAGTGTGTCTGGGCCTGATCAACCTGAGTGGTCAGTAAGAACAGCGCCGTTACCGGTCAGGGTGAGCCTCCCTGTCCAAGGGATGATAATGCGTTGGCCGGGCTGCAACTTGTAGAAGACGCAAGAGAACAGCTCCGGATCATAACTGTGGAGAATGGAGAACACACAGAACCTCAGAATCTCAAGAAAAATCCGCTAAATTGCCTCCATAACCTTGTCACTGACCTTAAAGGAATATTAGAACATCTTAGGCAACACTATAATTATGTAAACAACAACTAGAACTTTCACAATAAACTCACAGCCCTGTCAGAACCACTACAACTACTTTGTCGTAATGGCAAACAAGAATTATGTAAAAGATCTACTGAAGCCTACCTACTGCCTATTTCTAAAATATTACTACGACTACCTAGGAACACTACAACTATGTAAACAACATCTAGAACCTCCACAATGACCTCAATATCACATTTGGGGCAAGTATAACAACTGAAAGGATCTGTAGAACTTTCCAATAGTGCACGAGGACCATTTAAAGGAACCTGCCCAGAGAAAACGAGAACATCCTCCATACCCACTAAAACCTCTTCATGGAACTCTGGGGCCTCCAAAACACGTTCCATTCCACTGGTGTACTATCTTAAGTCCCTGCAGAGCTATGAAAACAAAAGACGTAATCGCAGGAGAGTTAGAACCTCCTGAGCCCTCTTACTTGCAGCTGCAGTCTGATAAACTGCATCTAGAACCTCCTCAGGAATATTTGAACTCTTAAAGGAACACTACAAATATGTAAGCTATGCCTAAAACCCCCAAAATTACCTCAAAATCTTGTCTGGAATATTTTTTAAAAAACTGCTTAAAGGCCCTCCAGAACATCCTAATGTGAAACTAGAACTACTGAAATACATATTTTTAAAAGAGTACTCGGACTACTGAAGAACACCAACAACATCTAGAACCTCCACAATTACCTCAGTGTCCAATTTGGTAAGATAATAGCGATTTAAAGAATCTCCAGAACCTTCCAGTGGCACACTAGAACTATTTAAAGGGACCTCAGAGACCACAAGAACCATCCATCCATTATCTATAGACCTTAATCCGCACTAGAACCTCTGAACAGAACTGTGGAACCTCTAGAACACTGTGTGTCCTGACCAGCAGTGCTCCTTGTGGGCCCGCACCAGATTCTCCAGAGACACTGGGAAAGTGTCGCAAGTGGCGACTATCATCTGGATCCTGAAGTTGAGGAACCGGACGGGGAACCCGAGTTTCTGCACGATGCGAGCAAACCTCCTGGCCGCCACCTTGGACTCTTCCATGCTGCTCAAACAGAGAGGAGAACGTCATCCACCATTCTGTGAACCCCCCACGTGGTGCCTCAGCTACCGGACGGACCTGGTGGCTCCTGTGCAGACCAGCTTCCCGGTATAGAAGATGTTTGCCGTGGTTCTCGGCTTGCGTATCCTCATGGTGAGCATGTGCGACACCTGGAACCCAACAACAGAATTAAACCTCACGCAAACATGTTCCGCGTGTCTTTTGTAGGTCCCGTGTTCCCGTTTTCATACCTGTGCGCTGTACACGACATTCCACGCTGTTCTGGCTATCAGGTCCAGGTCCAGACGGCAGCCCAGGTTCACCACAGAGACGACGTTCCTGCTCGCAAACACACGGAACCACGACAGCAGAGGACTTCAGAGAGGAACAGGACCGAATCAACTAGTTGACGGAAAATGGTCAAAGAACGTTTCTGTTGTTTCTCTTTTTTTTCTCCACGACCCAAATATGTTCTGGTAACTGTCATAGAGGAGGATAAAACAATAAAATATGAATAAAGAGTTAATTGTTGATAACTAATCCATACAGCTGTAGATCATTTCTTCCGCTTAAGAACAACAAAAAAAGAAAAAAAACTTCAAAGTGAAAACAACCGATCTGACAGAAATTCATTCTAAAGTCTGCTGGAGGCGACCAAATCAGAGCCACAAATCCGGATTCATTCGCTTCGCATCTAAGACGCTGCAATCAGTTTTGACTTTTAAAAAACCCACAAAAATCGAAGGGATTGATGGATAACAAAAACGTGCTGGTAACACTGAAGTGATGGATCAACGGACTCACCGTATGCAGGGTCTGAGCAACGGTTTGTGGCACTGAGGTGTGGCGGAGGACGGCCCGGCTGAGGCATTCTGGGAGTTGTGGTCCAGACTGGGACCGACTGTTCTGCTTTGGTTCTCGGCTGAAACACAAACCAACCAGCATCAGCGGCGCACAACGTTTTCCCTGCAGTTTAGAAAGCAGTTTTTTGGGGGGGGTTTTTTCACAGTACCTGTGTTGTTCTGGCCGGACTCGGGCAGCGTCAGCAGCTCATCAGGCAGCAAACGGAAAAATGCCTCTTCACCTTCATCATGCTCCTCGTTGATCCTCGATGAGTCCTGCAGAGATCAAGCCACAACCTGAAGGACCAGACTGGTAAAAACTATGTGATTCCTGAGTCACTGAGCTGCATCACCGTCAGAAAACGAGATTTATTTAGACTCTGTGGTAAATAATGATAATAATAAACCCAAACAGACCCACGAATGTTCACCACAGCATCAGATATCAGGTCCAGAGTCTGTTTTTGTTGCGGAAAACACTGACAAATAAAATCTTTAAAATATTTCAAAGACGACTAAAAAAAACCCAAAACAACCCAAAGAACATGTTTCAAGTGAAATAAGCTGTACTTTTAACATTTACTCACGTGTGCGATGTACTTGTCGAAGTAACGCTCCAACGCCCATTCGTCCATCTCGTAGGAGTACTCATTGTGCTGAGGTGTGGCTGAGGACGGCCCAGGTGAGGCATTCTGGGAGTCGTGGTCCAGACGGGGGCCGACTGTTCTGCTCTGGTTCTCGGCTGAAACACAAACCAACAAGCATCAGCAGCGCGTACGACGTTTTCCCTGCAGTTTAGAAAGCAGGTTTGTTTTTTACGGTACCTGTGTTGTTCTGGACGGACTCGGGCAGTGTCAGCAGCTCATCAAGCAGCAAACGGAAATATGCGTCTTCACCTTTATCATATTTATCTTGCTCCTCGTTAATCTGTGGCAAATAATGATAAGAATAAACCCAAT